TGGGCTCCTGGCCCGTCGGAAGCCGTCTTGGGGGCCTCTCTGGGCGGACTTGGGGCCCTGTTGGGGTGCTCCGGGGCCGTCTTGGTGGCTCTCTTGGGTGTAGTGGAGGCCCCTTTGGGCCGTCTTGGGCCCTGCAGGACCCGTTTGGGGGGCTTCGTGGGCCGTTTTGGAACCATCCTGGAGGCTTTTTGGGGCGATCTTGGGCCGTCTCGGGCCGTCCGTAAGCCGAAACGAAACAAAATCCTAAAATCCTTCAAACACCGTTTGACAATTAATGAATGTGCGTTGCACGAATTTGTTATGGTTGCTTTGTTTGGTTGCCGCACAAAAGCAGCCCTATCCCGACGCTGCTTGGGCTCAAGCTGTCAGCGGGTATGCAGTCGCAGTGCCCTGCCAGCGCTCTCGGGGCCCTGGTGACCTTCTGGGTAGGTTTCAATGCCTACGTCGTGATCGGGCCCGCGCTGGCTCCTGAAGGCGCTGACTGGCCGCGGGACGACCCTGGACACGAGCTGGAGGACAGCTCGGCGTCGGCGACGGTGACGGGGACCACCGCGGCCAGCCCAGCGCCCGATTTCCATTGCCCGGCGCCGCTGGCGCCAGAGGAGGCCAGCCCGCAGCCGCTGCGGGTGGCCAGGGAGGGGCTCGCGGCCGCTGTCGAGCTGCCCGTGGCGTTGGTCGGCGCCAGTGCAGCGGCAGCGGCGGCGGTGGCCTGTGGCGCCGGCTGTGAGCTAGCCTCGCGGCGGAGCTCGGCCAAGCTCGCGCTCGAGCCCATCGGCGAGGCGCGCATCCACGTGGCGTGGTGACGCGGGTCGATGCCGCGCCTGGTCTACGCGAGCAGGCGCAGCACGGTGAGGGCCCGGATTGGACGCACGAGCGCCAGCATGCCTTCGAGCGCGCTGGGTTCTCGCTGGACAGCGAGACGGGCCAGGTGGTCAGGGGCGCTGGCGGGGCGCCGCGCCAACTCGACGCCCAGCTGCGGCAAGTGCTGGGCAGCGAGCGTCGGGATGCAGACCCAGACTTCCCCGAGGTGTCCAGCCAGTTTTTGCGTGACTCCCATTGGACCACGGTGATGGCGGACCGATGGGCGTTTGAGGACGATACCCTTAGACTTGAGGCACGGGCGCTCGTGAAGGCTGCGTCACGTGCGGCGCGCAGTCAGCCAGTAGAAGAATGCCGCGTCCTATTGCATGGTGACAACCTCTCAGTCGTGCTTTGTTTTTGCCGCTTCAGGTTCAGGGGCCCTTCGACTTCTCATTCAGGTCCGTCGGCTGCTCGAATTCTCGCGCCTAGCTAGAGATAGCAGGTTCGTTGTTCGATGGGTTCCAAGCGAGGTCAGTTCTGGAGATGAAGGAAGGCGGAGACTTGATCTTGGGCGCAACAGCAGCAAGACCATCGCATCCCATCTTGGCTCAACAACGCTTTCGCCCCAGGTTGATCCCAGCCTTGTCCGCGCCCCCTTGGCGGTCGCGGTCGCCAGCGCGGCGTGGGGGCGGGCGGCAGCGGGCGCTGGGCAGGTCTGCGACGCCCCTGTCCACGGCGCCACGCAAGCCAGGCAGGCGTCGCGCGCGGGCGCTGAGCGCCGCGGCATAGCGGCGAGAGGCGGCGGAGGCGCCGCCGACTCGGAAGGCGCGGGGCTGGATCGCAGTCGTGGGTTTTCCGCTGAGCTTGCGGCCCCGAGGTCGGCGACGGTTCCGCATGTGGCAGCGGCGGAGAGATTCCCGGGCGCGGATCGCCGCGTGGCTCCGGCTGTCACCGCGGGCGCCAGAGGCCGAGAGGCCGACGCGGACGTGGCAGAGAGCCAGAGCGCGGACGGCAGCGTCGTGGAGGAGCCCGCCGCCGCTGCCAGCTGCCGGCAGCGTTTCGCGACCCCGGGCAAGGCCCGAGTCAGGAAGGCGCTCGACGTTGTGGAGGGCGCCACAGCCACGCTCGAGACCCACCGCCAGCGCGCGCTCGCATCTTGCGACTGGGCCCGTTGCTCGCTGGATGCGCTGCTAGCGCCGCCCAGGCTGGATACGAGCCCTGCGGGCTGGGTGGTCGGCGAGTTCCCGAAGGGGGTCATGGCCCGGCGCGGGGAGAAGTTGCGCGCTGGGCGGATAAGTTTCCGCCCAGACTACGGCCGCCCGAGCGGGCTGCGCCTGCTCCGATCGCTGCGAGAAGGGAGAGGCTGTCGCCATCTTGTTCTCGGAAGCCCTTGGTGTTCGCGGCCTGGGCTGCTGCGATTGCGGGGCCATGCCGCCTCGGAGGGCCGATGTCAGGAGCGACGGCGTTGATCATGGTGGAGTGTTTGCTTTTTTTCTTGGGGAGGTGCTGGGTTTGACCAGCAGCGCCACGCTGGCTCCGTCCGAACACGCTGTTCAGAGCTGGGTCGCATGGCTGTTTCCAGAAGCGACAGTGATAGACTCGCTCCGCGCGATGAAGGACAGAGGTTCCCCCGGGCCCCTCCTGGGCTTGAGCCATTCGCAGTGGGGGAGGTGGGCCGCGCTGACGTCGGCATGGAGATGCGGGAAGTCAGGGGGCACGAACGAGAGTTGGGAACATCTCCGGGAGGCGACAAACACTCGTTGTGGAGGGCCGCGAGGCAGCCGCAGGACGTGAGATTATTGGGCCGCCCCGCGCTGGCGCCGCTTCTCGTCCGCCGAGAGGGCTCTCGCGGGGGCCTGCGAGTCGTGGCGCGTTGCGGCAAAAGACCCCATATCTGCTGGGCGCTTGTTCTGGCCCAGGCGGGGCAGGCGGCTGCGCGAGGAAGTTGCGGCGCGATGCCGTCTGTCCTGACCTGGGGAGAGGGCCGAGCCGAGATGCGTGCGGCTCTTTCAGTTTCAACGACTGAGCGGTACTTTAGACTTGGTCTGGCGAGAGCGGCGATGTCGGCGCCTCCCTGCTCATCTTTTTTCGCTGGCTCGGAACCGCTATCCGGTCAGGGGTGCCGCTCAATCCCTGGGGCTCCCGTCGTTGCGGGCCAGAGACAGAGAGGCGGCGCACGTTGGAAATCAGTGCACGTGGGTGGCTGTGTACATTGCGAGACTGCGTCGCAAGTACGGGGTGCCTTTGGCTTCGGGGAACCCCTCAAACCTCGCGCATGTGGCGATGCCGAGATTTGGCATCTTACGCGTTGCCTCATTGTCGCGCGAAGGATGTGCATCCGTGTTCCTTTGGAGCAAGATGGAGGACAGCGACCTTAATTGTTTTTGGCTGTGTGACCGGCTCTGGAAACCTGGCGGCCCTGCGCCAGGGCCCGCTGGAAATGTCGGGCGAAGCACGGTTCTCGCCCCTTCAGGCTTGGGCGTAGGCAAGAAAGACGATGACTGCGCGGGCTGCTAAATATCCCTCTCGAATGTCACTGTGGCTTTGCAAACCGTTGTTGAACCTGTGATGAGAGAGTATGTATTCCGTGCTTCCCAGATTGGCGCCTTTTCCGCCCCCGTAAAATCGCCTGGACCGCTGCGCTGGGAACTTCGGCCTTGCGAACACGTCGACGACGAGCCCTGCCGTTGCATGCCTCGAACCCCCTGGTCGCGACCATGAGGTATCAGACTTCAACGCTGAAAAAGAGGACTGAGCATGAATGTGCGTTGCGCGAGTTTGCTCCGGCTGCTTTGCTTTATTGCCGCCCAGCAGCAGTCCTATCCCGACGCTGCTGGGGCTCATGCTTTCCCGCCCACCGTCGCCCTGGACCTGCTCGCATGGTGCGCGCTTCTTCCTGGGCCCCTTTCCTTTTTTTCCATTCGTGTGGGCGACGAGCCCTGCCGCTGCATGCCTCGAACCCCTGGTCGCGGCCGTGAGGTATCAGACTTCGCCGCTGAAGAAGAAGACTCAGCATGATTTTGGCCACTTCGGGCCATCCTGGAGACCCTGCCGTCTTGGGCCATCTTATGGCCATCTTCGGCCGTCCGGGTGGCTTCCTGGCCCGCCTGACGCCGTCGGGAGCCGTTTGGGGGGCCTCTCTGGGCCGTTTTGGCGCCCTCCTCGGAGCGTTCCAGGGCCATCTTGGAGGCTTCCCTGGGCGTCTTAGAAGCCTCTTGGGCCGTCTTTGGGCCCTCGTGGGGCCGTCATGGAGACCTCTTGGGAAGTCCTAAGGCCATCTTGGGGGCCCCTTAAGCGCTCCGGGGGGGGGGGGCGTCTTGGGCCGTCGGAAGGCAGAAGGAGCAAGTCCCAAGATCTTTCGAATGTTAAAGGCGAGTCAATGATTTTAGCCTTTTCGGGTCCTGAAGAACCTGTTGGACGCCTCGTGGGCCGTCTTGGAGGCTTCTCGGGGGCCGTCTTCGACCGTCTTTGAGGCTTCCTGGCTGAACTTGGAGGCGTCCTGGATTTTCTTTGGCAGTCTTGGACGTCACCTTGGACCATCTTGAGTGAACTTGAGGCCACCGCAACCGTCTTGGAGGCCATCTTTGGCCGTCTGGAGCATGAAAATCTTGCAACCACCTCTTAAGGTCCCTGGGTGGCCGGCGGGATAGGCCAGAGCCCTGGGGGAGAGATATTTTTGTTTAAAAACAATTATATATACATGTATACATACATACATATATATATATATGGACAGTTTTAACAACGTGATGCAGAGCCCTGTGTGAGAGTGCCGCACGTTCGATATGTCAGTTCAAATCCTCTCGGTTTTCCGCTGACATATGTGCTCAAGTGCATTGAGGAAGGTCGCTCGATGAGCTTCAGCGAGTGGCTCTCGACCGAAGCGGTCCGCGCCGCCACCACGAGCCTGGCGATCTGGGCTGCGAAGCCCGAGTGTCCTCCGTGCACCTGCAAGCCCTCGCTGGTGTGCGGCAGCGGGCTGGAACCTCACAGACAGGACTGCCCACCTCAGGTGGGGACCTGGCCGCTGTCAGCCGTCGTGCTGGCCGCGGTGCTGGGCCTGGCCGCAGGCGCGCTGCTGGGCCGCTGGTTCGCTCCGCCTGCTCCGGCGCGGGCTCTGGCGGCGATCGACCAGTTCGAGGAGGAGGCCCGGGCCCAGGCTGCTCTGGTTCGCGGGCGGCTGCAGGTCCAGTGAGGCCATGTCGGCGGCGGCCGCCGCGGCAGCGGGCCATCCCCTCGCCCTCCTCGGCCTGGACGAGGGAGATTTCATCTTGATCAGATACCAGGTCGGGGGGGCGAGGATCTGGCATGAGCGCCTCATCCTGGCCTTCCAGCCCGTCGCGCCGTTCGGATGCGGGATCCTGACCCCGGACGGCCACGGCTACGTCGAGGTCATCGCGAATGGAGGCGCGGACGTGGCAGAGTTCTGCATCCCGGCTGGAGGCGCCGCTGGAGGCAACTCGGCGGCGACGGGCGGGGATCAGGTCTACCGGTTCCGCGCTCTGCCTCTGCCGGCGGCCGTCGCGGCCGCGGCCACCGCCACCCGGGGCACTCTCGGGCTCGCTCCGGGTCCGGCCGTGGCCCTGAACACCGTGGGCCGGGTCATCGCGCCGCCGGCCCCCGCGCCTGCTGCCGCTGGCGCCCCTGCCGCCGCGGGCGGCCCTGCCGCTGGCGGCGTGGCGGGCCTCGCGGCGGCCCTTGGTGCGCCCGCTGCGGTCGGAGCCCCGGTCCCTGGGGCAGCGGCGGGCGCGCTCGTGCCGGCCGCAGCGCCCGCTGGGCCCGCGCTGGGAGGCGGCTTTGTGGCCGCAGCTCCCGCGGCTGGCGCTCCGTTGGCCGCTGGGCTCGTGGGCGTCCCCGCACCCGCGGCCGCCGCGCCCGCTGCCGCGGCCGTTGCGCCCGGATTGCCTGACTTAGGGGCAGGCGCCCTGGCGAATGCTTTCGCCGCGGTGGCGGCTGCCCCTGGCGGCGACGCGCGGATGCAGGCCATCGTCTTGGACTCCCAAGGGGTCCGCTACGTCGACTTCAGGTCGGCCGTAACGAGGATGCACGAGTTACCTTGGCATGACTGGCCGCTCAAGGGCCCCAGAACGCTGTTGTGGGTGCTGAACTACATATGCCGGAACGGTGGCACACCCCTCGGTCGCCACACCAAGTGGAAGGCCGAGGCCTACCTGGACGACGAGGACCCGGGGGTGGACGTGCACCTGCTGTGCTGCAGGCTGTTGGAGTTCGGAGTCGTGTATGATCAGACTCATGCGACCAATCTAGCTTCTATGGAACTGGTCGGCCGCACGCTGCAGACCCAGGAGGAGCTGTACCGCGACAGGTTCGCACCCACGTCCGAGCACGGGAACGACGCTGCGCTGCTGTCCGGCGTCCAGGACGCAGGCAGCGGCATCTGCATGGCCCCGGCGCTGCGCGACTGGCTGGCCGCCGAGAAGTCGCGCGAGGCGGCGATTGCCAAGGAGCGGCGCAAGGCTCGCGAGGAGCGTGCCTTGGCCGCCGGGACCGGCGCGGCTGGCTCTGGCGGCGCCGAGGGGCGCGGAGGCCGTGGCCGCGGCGGCCGAGGCCGTGGGCGACGGGGCCGTGGGGGCGGCAATACCCCAGGCGCCGATGCCTGAGACGAGCCGAGGGGGGGCAGATGGGCCAGCCTCCCCTCGGGACTGCTGTGCGGCTCTCGCCGCAGGCCCCCGGCCGCCGGGGACACGCCGCCAGCGCGACGTCTTCCCGCTGCCGGTCGTGCCGGCCGCTGCTCCGCGCGGGGTGGAGCCTGGCGGTCGTCGCGCTGCTCGTCGGCGCGGCCTTCGCACTCATCATGATGATCGCGTTCGAGCGGCCACCAATGCACTCAATTCACTTTATGGCTCTCGGTCCTCGCCTCCATCTGCAGCGCACGAGGGGCAGCGCCAGGCCATCATGCATATCGACAGTTGCGTCAAGGAGCTGGGCGCGCCGCCGTCCGAGTTCAGTGACACGCGTGCTGGTCAAGACGGGGCCCTTCGGGAGCTCCTCTCCTGCGCCAACCTGTACGGTTCGGGCGCCGCCTCGTCGTCCCCCTACGTCCGCGACCGAGTCGCATGGCCCGCTGAAGGTGCTGCGCCCGTCGATCTCGTCGGGCTTGTGCAGCCCCATGACAAGGCCTGGCTGGAGGGATGGCAGAGCCATATGCTTCGAGATCGGCAGTCCGCCGAGGCCTTGGCACGTTCGGCCTGCCCACGCGGGCCGTACTGCGACCCGAACCTGTTCCGGGACGCGACTGCCTACGGCCAGTTTTTGATGGAGATGCACCGGAGGCAGATGGTCACCTTCGCGGCCGACAGCGGTCAGCCGCACACCGTCGGCCTCTTCTTTGTGCCCAAGAAGTCGGGGGCCCTCCGGATAATTTTCGACACGAGGGCCGCCAACTGCAAGTTTTTGGATCCGCCGGCCACGAGGCTTCCTTCTGCAGCGTCCTTCGGCGCTATCGAAGCCCCGGCGGACGGCATGTACCTCTCCACGTGCGACCTGGAGTGCGCCTTCTACCACATGCGGCTGCCGTGCGGGATGGAGACGCTGTTCACCTTGCCGTCGATCTCGGTCGCCGTGTTGCAAGAGCTCGGCCTGATCGACCTTGACTTCGATCCTCTCTCGCGCGTGACGCCCATGGTGACCGTCCTCCCGATGGGCTTCTCGTGGGCGTTGCACTTCTGCCAGTCGGCTGCGCGCTCAGTCCTTGCTGATGAGGGCCATGAGAGGGCCATGACAGCCATGGACGGTCAAGCTGGTGTTGTAGTCACCGACCCGGTCTCCGTCGGCGTCGGGGCTTACGTCGACAACATCCTGGCGTTCGGTGCTGAGAAGGGCGCGGTCGACCAGGCTATGACACGGCTGGTGGCCGCTTTCCGCGCCCGAGGGCTTCCTGTCCATGAGATCGAGCCCGCCGCAAAGGACCTGGACTTCTTGGGCCTCAGCTTGAAGCACGGGAGGTACCTCCGGATCAAGCCGCGGAACATCTGGCGGCTGCACTCGGCAATCACTGGGCTTCTGAGGCGTGGCTGGTGCAGCGGCCACATGATGCGAGCAGTTCTGGGCCATGTGACATGGTCGTCCATGATTCGCCGAGAGGTCCTCACGGTGCTCCATAGCGTCTACGGCTTCGTGGCGGCGTACGGCGAGAGGCAGGGCAGGATCTGGGCGTCGGCGGCGAAGGAGTTAACCATCATCCGTGACCTCCTGCCCGTCTTGTCCGGCGACCTCGCGTCCGCGTGGCACCCCACGTTGACGGCTAGCGACGCATCGCCCTTCGGACTTGGGGTGATGCGGAGACGCGCGCCTCGCGCCGTCTGCGCCGCCGTCGGCCGTTGCTCGGAGAAGTGGCGATTCAAGGTCGAGGGCGGGCACCAGGCTCGGCTCCGGTCACTGCGAGAGGGCGGCTTGGAGCGTCCCAGCGTTGAGTCAGAAAACGTCGACCCCTCTCGGCCTCACTCTCCAATCGACCCTTCACAGCTCGGGGTTCATCATGTCAGCCCTGCGGGCGGTCAAGCATGTCCGGCGCCGTCGTGTGTCTCGGGAGCTACGTGTACCTCTCCGGGCCTGCAGGGGGACCCCTACGAGGAGCTCATGGGCCAGTACGGGGACCCCTACAAGGAGCACGTGGGCCTGCACGAGGACCCCTTCATCTCCAAGGGCCAGCACGGGGACCCCCACGTGGAGTTCATGGTAGACAACAGCCTCACGCGTGCTGATGCCTCTTACGTCGTGGGCGACTCTTGGGACATGGAGGAGGTTCCTGGGCACCTTACCCGCATGGATGCCTGGAAGTCAGTCTCGGCGCAGTCGGTCTCCACGGGGGCCAACATATTGTACCTGGAGGGGGAGGCTCTGGTCACGTCCTATCGGCATCTCCTCCGAGGTCTGGGCGCTCATGGGGCTCGCATGGTCGCCCTCGTGGACAACCTCCCCTTAGCCCTCGCCTGTGCAAAAGGAAGGGCTCGGTCAAAACACTTGAGGTCGTGCCTGAACCAGCTGTGTGCGTTGTCCTTGGCCACCGGCTCGAAGTTGTTCGTCCGCTGGATCGCCTCGGAGCGTAACCCAGCGGACGGCCTCAGTAGAGGCAAGCTCGGCTGGTTCACCGGCCATCGACACCTTGGCCATGCGAGGACCCGCCTTGGTCGTCGCGGCGCTCTGCCTTCTGTTCGGGCTCCTGGCGCGCGAGGCGCAGGCCATGCCGAGGCAGAGGGCCCCTACGCCTTCAGCCCGGACTCGCCGGCGCGCCCAGCTGGCGGCGGAGGCGGCGCGCGGGCGGCCGCTGGTGGGCGCCCTGACGCTCTTGGAGCAGCTGGCCGTGAGGCCGAACACGGAGACCCTGTACCGCAAGCTCCTGCAGACGTTCATCACGTACTGCTACGACCACCGCCGGGACTGGAGCAACCTGCGCGAGCTGGACCGCCTGCTCGCCGAGTACTTCACCTCTCGTTACATCTCGGGGGCGGCGGCGAGCGTCGGATCACAGACGGTGGCGGCGCTGGCGCACTTCACGCCGGGGCTCCCCAGGCGGGTGGGTTCGCTCTTGCCCCGCGCCTCACGCGCGATGCAGGCGTGGCGGAGGCGGGCCCCGACCCTCACGCGGTTGCCCATCCCGAGGGCGGTCATGTTCGCGCTGGCGGGCGTCCTGATCGCCTGGCAGCAGGCGCCCATGGCGGCGTGGCTGGCGATTGCGTTCTCGGCATACCTCAGGCCTGCCGAGGCTCAGCGGCTGACCACGGACAGCATTGTGGAGCCCTCGGCGTCAGCGGGGCCAGCTTACCAGTTCTGGGGCCTGCTCCTCCACCCCGCAGACCGCGGGCAGGCGGGCAAGACGGGTGCCTTCGACGAGTCGATCCTCTTCGACCTCGACCTGTACTTGGTGCCGGTGCTCATGGCGCTCCGCTGTCGGGGGGGCCCGGGCACGCCGCTGTGGAGCTTCTCCCTCGGGGACCTGAACAGGATGTTCATGCTGGCGGCGGCGGCGCTGGGGCTCTCCCATCTGCGTCCCCACCTGTACGGGATGAGGCACGGAGGAGTGAGCGACGACCTCCTGTCCCAGCGGAGGTCGCAAGAGCAGGTCTACCGGCGAGGCCGCTGGGCTGTGCCATCCTCGATGCGGAGGTACGCGAAGGAGACGGCCCTCTTGCGCGAGCTGCAGGGCGTGCATCCGGACGTGTACGCATTCGGCGACCTGGTCGCGCAGAGCTTCGCGCTGCTGATCGAGAAGGGCTTCGCAGGCGCGGGGCTGCAGCGGCTCATTCCGGCCAGCCTGCTGGAGGCGCTCATGGGCGGGCCATCGCAGCCCAGGCGTGTGAGGCGGCGGCCTGCCAGCCGCAGCTGAGCGCGGCCAGCCCTGCCGGCGCCAGCGCTGCCGCCGGCTCGGGGCGTCTTCGGCCGCGGCCGGGCGGCTCCGAATGCGCCGACCACCTGCGGCGCCGCTTCAAGGCTGCGGTCAGCCGCGGCTCGCTGTGCCGGCGTCGGGTGGTGCTGGAGCTGTTCTGCGGCAGTGGCCACTTCTCAGCCGCCGCCCGCCGCCTGGGCCTGTCGGCGCTCGGCCTGGACTTTCGGCTGTCGCCGCTGGAGGACCACTGCCGCCGCGACTTCGAGCGGGTGGTGACCGGCTGGCTCCGCAGCCGCGCCGTGGCAGCCGTCTTCCTCGGTACGCCCTGCACGACGTGGTCTCGTGCGCTCCGGAAGGCTCTGAGGTCGCGCGCCCATCCGATGGGCATCAGCGGCCTTTCGACATCTGAGATCGCCCGCCTGACTACAGGCAACGCCTCGTTTTACTTCACATGCCGCATCATACGCTTATGCTGTAAGTTAAACATACCTGTGCTGCTCGAGAACCCTGCCAGTTCTTTAATGTGGCATGCAAAGCTTCTTTCGTCCCTCATCATTTCCCAGTGTGCTCGTGTGTGTGATTTTGATCAGTGCCAATTCGGAACACCCTGGCAGAAAAGGACCAGGATCGCGGCCTGGAGGACGGGCCCTCTTACCGACCTGCACCGGCTCTGTAAGGGCCGCCGGGGTCTCTGCTCTCGCACTGGAAATCGGCATACCATTCTCACGGGCCAGGCCCCAGAGGGCTGTAAATACACTGCGTTGGCCGCCGCCTATCCCGCTAGTCTGTGCACGGTGTTGGCTAAAATCGTCAGAGAAGCGGTTCTGAAAAAGCCACGGCAAACCATGGCCGATTTAGTATGTAAGCCGCCCGCAAACCACATCTAGCTACCTTCATACTTTTCGGCCTTTGCTGCTAAAGCTACAGGCCATGTCTTCCTTATGGGGTATGGTACCTCATCTGTATGTGCCTCGCCGTCCGTACAATAGGTGGTCAATGCTAGTACCTCTCGTCCGGCAGATATCTGCCGTGCCTGGCTCGTGCTTCACACATATGATGAAAAGAAGCGCTCCTGCCCGTCGTCGTCGTCGTCGGCGCCGGTCGGGGCTGCGCTTGTCATCTAATAGATCTGGCACTCGTCTAAGCAGGGCGGGCTGGACAGTTTTAACAACGTGATGCAGAGCCCTGTGTGAGAGTGCCGCACGTTCGATATGTCAGTTCAAATCCTCTCGGTTTTCCGCTGACATATGTGCTCAAGTGCACCCACCCGCATGCCGCCCTCACTTGCATCCATTATAGAGCAGTTTTTCTTCTCGGTGCCTCATCTGTATGTGCCTCGCCGTCCGTACAATAGGTGGTCAATGCTAGTACCTCTCGTCCGGCAGATATCTGCCGTGCCTGGCTCGTGCTTCACACATATGATGAAAAGAAGCGCTCCTGCCCGTCGTCGTCGTCGTCGGCGCCGGTCGGGGCTGCGCTTGTCATCTAATAGATCTGGCACTCGTCTAAGCAGGGCGGGCTATATATATATATGTATGTATAGATATGTGTGTATATATGTATATATATATATAAACAAAAACGAGACCGAAAGGATCCAGCACGCCGGGCACCTGTGGCAAGCCAACAAAGGGCGGCGGATTCTTGGTATCGAAGACGCCTGCGGCGAATCACCGCCGCAGCCGTCACCTTTGGAAGCGCCTCTGTGGCCGACAGCTGGGCCAGAGCTTGGCCAAGCTATCGGGCCAGTTGATCCCGGAATCGGTTTGGGAAGACTTCGGGGAACGCGTGGGGGGACAAGAACAGGAGAAGGGGGAGGATGAGGAAAATCAGGAGGAGGAGGAGGAGGAGGGGCCTCTTGGGCGCCTCTTGGGGCACTCTTGGGGCCTCCTCGGAGCTTCCTGGGGGCCTTTCGGAGAGTTGTTGGAGGCCTTTCGGACTTCTTGGGGGCCTCTTTGGCCGTCTTGGGGGCCTGTCTGGGTCGTTTTGGGCCCGTCTTGGGGCATATCAGGGGTTCTTACAGGCCATCTTGGGCGTCTTGGAGGCCTCTTGGGCCGTTTTGGAGGCCTCGTGGACGATCTTGGGGGCCTCCTGGGCCGGCTTGAGCCGTCGGGATGCCGAAAAGAAACAAATGTCAAAATACGTCAAACATCTAAGGAACATGAATGATTTTAGCCTCCTCGGGCCCTCCTGAAGGACCTCTTTGAGGCCTCTTAGGCCGTCTTGGAAGCCTCTTGGGGGCCTCCTGGGCCGTCTTCGGCTATCTGGAGGCCATCTCAGGCCGTCTTGGGTGCATCTTGGGCCGTCTTGGAGGCATCTTGGGGCAATCTTAGCAGTCTTGGAGGCCGCTTTGGCAGTTTTGGAGGCCTCTGGGGCCCTCTCGGGGCCGTTCTTGGGGGCCTCTGGGGCCGTCATGGGGCCATTTTGGATGCCTCCTGCGCGATCGCTGGGGCCTCTTGGGCCGTCTTGAGCCGTCGGAATGCAGAGAATAAGCAAACGCCAGAATCCGTCAAAGACCTACGGAACATCTATGACTTGGGCGTCGTCGGGCCCTCCTGGAGGACCTCTTGGAGGCCTCTGGTGCCGTGTTGGAGGCCTGTGGCGGGCCTCTTGCGCCGCCTTAGGCCATTTGGAGGTCATCTCAGGCCGTCTTGGGTGCATCTTGGGCCGTCTTAGAGGCATCTTGGGGCCATCTTAGCCGCCTTGGAGGCCATCTTGGGCGTCTTGGAGGCCTCTTGGGCCGTCTTGGGGCCCTCTTGGGGGCATCTTGGGGGCCTCTGGGCGACCTCTTGGGCGATCTTGGAGACCTCTGGGGCGATCTTGGAGGCCTCCTGGGCCGTCGGAAGGCCGAAACGGCGAACATGCAAACATGTTTCAAAAACCAATGGGCAATTATTGATTTTGGCATCTTCGGGCCTTCCTGCAGGACCTCTTGGAGGCCTCTTGGGCTGTCTTGGAGACCTCTTAGGGGGCTCTTGGGCCGTCTTGGGCCATCTTGAGGCTATCTTAGGCCGTCTTGGATCATCTTGGGCGGACTTGGAGGCCATCTTGGACCATCTTGGAGGCCATCTTGAGCCAACGTGGCCATTTTGGAGGCCATCTTGAGCCGTCTTGGAGGGACAATTAGGGATTGAGCTCCCTTCCGGGACCCCGGCGGGACGGGCCGAAGACCCAGGGGGAGGTCTTTCGGAAAAAGGAACCACAACCAAAACCGAAAGGATCTAGCACGCCAGGCACCCCTGCGACGAATCGACAGGGGGCGGCGGATCGAATGGCCTTCGGCCCACACCGCCACCGTGCCTGGGTTGTGGCTATGAAGCCTATTTCGTAATGAAGGGAGGGGGGTCTCATTTCGGGGGGGGGGGAGGGGGTCTTTTCCAAGCTATCTTGGAGGGCCTGGGGGGGTCTGGGGACGATGTTTTGGAGGGTTCTCCCACCGGGGGGGGTCTGGAAATGGCTTGTCTTGGAGGGTCCAGACCCCCTTCCTGTTATTACAAAATCTGGAGTATTGGATGTTCGAGGAGGAGGAGGAGGAGGAGGAGGAGGAGGAGGAGGGAGGGAGGAGGAGGAGGGGAGGGGAGTGGGAGGGGAGGAGGGGGAGGGGAGAGACGGGGAGGGGATGGGAGGAGGGGGGAGGGAAGGGTGGAGGGGAGGGCCGGAGGGAGGAAGGATAGTGGAGATGAGGAGCCCCTCGGGGGCCTCGAGGCAGTTTGGAGGCCTCCTGGGGGGCCGTCTGGGACCCGGGGGGGCACGCGGGGAGCCCCCCACGGAGGCACCGCCGCGCCCCGAGAGAGATGCGTGGAGCGAGGGGGCCCGGGCCCTCCTGTGAGGATTCCTCCTCCGCCCTCCCTCCACCACCACCTCCTCCTCCTCCTCCTCCCACTCCACCCCTCCTCTCCTCTCCCCTCCTCACGCCTCCTCCTCCTCCAGTCCCCCTCCTCCCTCCTCCCATCCTCCCTCCTCCCTCCTCCCTCCTCCCTCCTCCCTCTCCCCCTCCCAATCCACACCTCCCCCTCCCCTCCCCCTCCCCCTCCTCCTCCTGCCTCTCCTCCTCCTCCTCCTCCTCCTCCTCCTCCTCCTCGCTCCTCCTCCCTCCTCCTCCTCCTCCTCCTCCCTCCCTCCCTGCCTCCCACCTCCCTCCTCCCTTCCTCCCTCCTCCTCCTCCCTTCTCCACCTCCTCCTCCTCCTCCTCCTCCTCCTCCTCCTCCTCTTCCCCTCCTCCTCCTCCTCCTCCTCCTCCTCCTCCTCCTCCTCCTCCTCCTCCTCCGGGAGGATTGGGGGCCCAGGACCCGAGGAGGTAAGGGTGAACTTTCGCCCGAGTGACCTCTGGTGAACACGGAGCGGTCAACGAAGCGGCAGCAGCTGCCTGCGCGCCCAGGTCTGGTCCCCCTGCGGCCCCCCCAAAGTCGCGCACCAGAGGTCACTCTTACCCAGGTCGGGCGACGAAATCTATACATACCCACTGCTCCCTGACCATGCCCATCCTGAACCCAGGAGCTGTGTATGCGCCCTCCTGGCCAAGCCAGGAGGGCGTGGCGTATACACCGCTGCGGGGTTGAGGATGGGCCTGGCCAGGGAGCAGTGGATATGTATAGATTTCGTCGCCCTACCAGGGTCACTCTTGCGTATAGCCGAGAAGATTGGGGCCTGGAGGACTGGGGCCCAGGGCCTGAGGACACGCCCGCTCGCCCAGCGGCACGGCGGCGGGCACGCTGTGAGGAGGACCTGGGCTGGAGGGCGAGTCCTCAATACACCTTAGGCGATGCTTAAGAAAACTTAAGTTTTCGGCCAGAGTCTCGATTATTCTTAACGTTTCAATGTAGATCCTAAGATTTTAATGGAAATGTTGGGTTTTTGTTCAAGTTCTGAGACTATGCATTTCTTAGCCCATGATTTCTAAAGCATTTCGCAGGGTGTAACATTTGTGAGGGGGTGCCAGGCGGGAGCCTCGGTTGTCGCAGCGGGAGGTCATCGCGCGCCCCGGGAGGGGCACTTCAATTGAACAAACAGGTGCACCGGGGGGGGACCAACAACCATTATTATTCAAAAGCGGTAACTCCACAAGCAGAATCCGCGCCGCGGAATACCACTTCAGCCACACACCAAGGGACGGTGTCAAACCATTCGGCCTCTTCACTCTGATGTGCACCTACGGAATCATATACGGAAAATAGGGTGCATATCTTGCACAATTCAACGATCCGACTTTTCATATGTAGCTCAACACCAGAGCCAGCAACATGATGTTCAACACACATGGCACGAAACCGCACACAAGCTTCAAACAACGCGTAAGCACCACCACAATCCTGAACAAACGACGGGTAAGCACCAATTCTCAACTCACGACACTTCCTCACAAGCACAATCTTCAACACGCGCCACGTAAACACCAAACACGCGCGTTCTGGATCAGTTATGGCGTGTCACATGGACAAAGCGCATCTCGCAGTCCCTGGTGGCAA